CTTTCGCCCACCTGTGCTTTAAAAAGACATGAGTTATCGGATGAAGATTCTTACTTTTCTGAGTTACTGGACCGTTCTCTCTAGAAGTCATAGGACCTTAGGGCAAGCACACTTCCCCAGTGCCTATCTGTTTCCCACCAGCCTCCTGCCAAACTTGACTACCTGCTTTCAAATCTCCTAGTTCCTAATTCTTGCCTCAGAAATGTCTAGTCAAGCACATTTGCAGAGCTATGATTGTCATTTCCTCAGCCTGGTTAGTAATTCCGTCCTTTTTGGCTTTGGTTATCTACTTTCCAGGCTTTCTCTTAAGACTTAGATTGACATTTCTCTTGTCTTCTCTACAAGCCAAATAACTTTACCAATTATAGGTTTACAGTAGAAAAACACTTTCCTATACAAAGTTCCTGGACAGAATGGTTGTCCACCAACAGTAATGGAAGGGTTGTTCTCTTAGTTACTATAAAAGCTTTAGGCATAATCTCTAAATACCTGATAGCAAGTTTCTGAGTTACTAATAGTAAATGAATGAGAACTGTGCTGTTTCCATAACCAGAATAAGGTGCTAATTCTTTCAGAAGAACGATTGGAAAAGGCATATTTTTCATTTTTATTACATTGTTTACAGAGTAAATACTAGTTTTTTGACAGAATGTTGTGATGCAACAAGAGTGTCCCCAGGTCTCATTGCTTTTAACTTTGTGACCTTGGGCAAGTCACTACCTTTCTGGGTCTTCCATGGCTTCATTTCTAAAAGGAAAAGAATTAGGCAAGGTGATTGTCAAGACTTCCTACTCAGAAATTTTGACTCAGTCTTTGGGGAACTGACACATCTCAAAGAACTGGGAGAAGGGTATCATTTATGTCTTTCAGAGGCCAAAAATACTCCCAGATTATAGAACATGCATGATGATAATGAATGGGTATTACAGTGAAGATTAATGTATTTCATTATCTAGTCTTCTCTAGGTAACCAAAATAGGTCAGGCTTAGACTTCATCTTATTTTAATGCAGCCAGTCTCACATGGCAGGGATATTTGCAGCCTAGAAGTCAGCTAAGGACTTTGGAAAGTCTTTTTTTTTTTTTTAATGACTTTTATTTCATTTGTTGGTTTTAAATTGCAGCAGTGATCTCAGTCAAGACCCAGCCCAAATTCTTTTGACACACCTTCTCCCATTAGATCATCTGGCCCACATTTTGCCAGGTGGAACTCTCCTCTGGCAAGGTATAAGCATAACAAGGAACAGCTGCTTTGTCTACTAGGGCCAATGGGAAGACAGATGTGCTGCTGTACAAACACTCTCCCATCCTTAAGCCAGGCTCCCCATGCTGTTTGGACTCACAGCACCTTTGTCTTCCTTGTCTTTTTGTTGTCTTTTAGAAGAGGGCATGGGAAAGAGTTTCTAGGCTTTTTTGAATAGTTAACTTGAATGGCAATGTATAGGAAAAGTATAAGGTCTCTGAGGTTGGCATAACACCGAATCCAGAGTTTTTTTTTTTGAGACAGAGTCTCTCTCTCTCTCTGTCGCCCTGGCTGCTGGACTGCAGTGGCACGACCTTGGCTCACTGCAACCTCCGCCTCCCAGGTTCAAGCAGTTCTCTGCCTCAGTCTCCCGAGTAGCTGGGATTACAGTTACCCACCACCACACCTGGCTAATTTTTGTATTTTTAGTAGAGACGGGGCTTCACCATCTTGTCCAGGCTGGTCTTGAACTCCTGACCTTGTGATCCACCTGCCTCAGCCTCCCAAAGTGCTGGGATTATAGGCGTGAGCCACCATGCCTGGCCCAGAGCTCTTTTAAACAAGCAATCTGTCCAGCCAGGTGGGCCTTGGAGCTGGAGGGTCAGGCACCAGTACAGCTGTTATTTGCTACAGACTGTAAAGAAGTGTGAATTTCAACTTGTTACTTCCCTACCACAATTCTGAATCAGAATGATCATGACTTCGCTAACAGAAGAAGGTAATATTCTCTGTACAGGGGAAAAAAACTAAGAGAATATTTTTCCAGAATGCCCACTGTGGTTATCTCTGGGAGAAAGGATTATAGGTTTCTTTAGCTCTCTCCTTTTAAAGTATTTTCCTTATTTTCAACAACGGACATCAATCGTGAAACCCCAAAAAAGCAATAAATGTTATATTTTTCAAAACTTCCACTATGCCTCAGGTGGAAGATCATAATTTTTGACATGATGGATAAAGGTCCTCACAATTTGGCCCAACCCAGTTTGCAAGCGTTGGTGTTCTTCAGATCCAATGAATTTTGCTCACCATCGCCCAGCATGCCATGACCTCTCACAACGCAGTGATGCTCGCTCTGTCTGCAGCACCATCTACCACTCTGCTCTCTACCCTATCCAGCCTTCAGGATTCCTTCTGAGAATTTTTTGTGTCCACACGCCTCCCCACCAGCCCAGGCTGAATTAGTTTCTCCATTCTTACTGTTCCTGTAGCACTGCATACAGATATGTACTCTAGCAGTTACTGACTTACACAATAAAGATTGTTACACGACTGGCTCTTCTATAAACCATCAACTTCTTGAGGACAGGGAATTGACTGAATTTAAATCACCTAAAGATACTACTGTGTGGTAGACTTGCCCTGAATTCTTGTTGAATAGAGCAGGTGTTCATGGTAGATATCCACCAGCAGATTTTAATGGTATTTCTTTATTTCTAATGGCATTTGATGCCCTGCCTGGAATACCAACACAAGAAAGAGGATTCGCAGTATCTTACCTTGGTAACTTACCTCAGGATGTTTCCCGTGGACCTGTACACTCTTGCCAGCCCAGATGGCTGCTCAAATGGTTGAAAATTTGGTTGTCTTGCTGGTTTTTATCAGAGGCTGTACCTAGTATTCTCTGCCCATCGGTACTATACACTTTGTGAATCAGCAACCCCTTTCTTCACATTTCTCAGGATATCCTCACTAAGGTCTTGTATACCATCTGAAATTTCCTTGATGCCATATGTCTTCTTACAGAGAATCACCTATGTTTTGTTTGGTTTACATTGAAGACATATATCTTTGACCATGCCCTAGTTTACTCAGACTGTTCTCCTAAGAAAAAAGTTGAATTTAATTTTGGGTTCTCCTTTAGGCTCTAAGAGTCTTCTTCATACTTGAATGTATTAATTATCACTTATTGCTTCTACTTTACCATTAACACACTGGATAATGGCATTCCAACATATCCTAAGCTTTAGAGAGCCAAAGGAATCTGTTGTTATATTTCACATGTACAGTCTTTTATATAAAATATATTGCAATATGTATTATGTATTTTATGTAACATAATTGCATTTTGTGCAGATTTGAATATGTAAAATTGAAATGGTAGGATATACTAAAAGTATTAATAAAGCCTCCAATTTTTAAAGTAAAGTTGACTAGAATGACATAATTTCAAAACTGGAAGGCTTGAGTCAATTGTAAACTGTGTTGAAGCTGCAGCCACATGGCAGTGCCATTTTGGCCAGTAAAATGCAAATAAATACCTGACTTCCCTTGACAATGTCCTGTGAACCACATTGCTTTTCACTGCATAGGAACTTGTACTTGTGGTTTTAGTGTCTCTTTATCTGTTATTTTAACATCTTCTCTTGTTAGAATTGAAAATATTTTTGTAGCCTTAGAATGTCATACTAAGCATTCATGAAATGGTGGTAGTACTTGTGCTGAAACTAGCACATGAAAATAAATAACGCTTGGAATAGAATTTAGATACGGAGAAACATGAAGAAGGTCAAATAGCCCCCATGGTACACTGTGCTGTTAATTTAGAAATGAGTGCTCTGTTGCTACTGGAGATGATGCTTAGGAAATAAAGTGGAACATTGAAATAAAAATGCATCATGGTGATGTAGATCTGTGCTTCCTGAGAATGCATTTAATCCTGTGGAGAAATCAGTTTTGAATTTTGCATATATTGAATTATTCAAATTTCAGGAACACATCCTTTGCATAAAATGCATCCATCTGGTTCTTGGGATTTTTTTCATAATTAAAATTATGATATGACAGTTTCAAAATCTCCTTTTAAAATACATTGGGACAAAAATTATAGATTAAAGTATGAAACATGAATGACTTTTATTAATATAGTTCTCACCAATTACTTTAGCTTAATAACTTCAAGCCATTCTTTCCATAAATATTTTTGAAGGTTTCTAGCTCTAATACTGTATATCCAGGGTCATAGGGTCATTTAGGACAAACATTTGGTATCTCAGAATAGAATGTTAAAATTGGAAAGAACCTTAGAGATCATTTTACAAAGGAGGAAACAGATGGTTAGAGAGGGCAGCTAAGGGACTGGCTCAGGGTCACAAAACATTTCAAAGTATTTCTAATTGTATTGTCTCAATTTTTCAATATCCTTTCCTCCTTCTTTGTTTCTTCATATGTATTGACCTTTTCCCACCACGATAATAAGCTGAAGTTCAGATATATTGATGGACCCAGAGTAAGAGTGGAAGTATCTGCATTTCTTTAAAAAAAAATTTTTTTTTGAGATTTTTTTCCTGCTTTACATTTTTGGGGTCCAAAATCTTGTAATTAGATTTTTTTCATAATTTCCAAATACCAATAGTATTGTGCTACTATGCATTATACAAATATGGCCAAGCACGGTGGCGCACACTTGTAGTCCCAGTGCTTTGGGAGGGCAAGGGGGGAGGATCGCCTTAGCCCAGGAGTTCCAGAACAGCCTGGGCAACATTGCGAGACCTCGTCTCTACAAAAAATTAAAAATCAGTAAGCTGGGCGTGGTCATCCACACCTGTAGTCCTAGCTACTCGAGGAGCTGAGGCAGGAGGATCACTTGAGCACAGGAGTTCAAGGCTGCAACTATTATCACACCACTGCACTCGAGCCTAGGTGACAAAGCAAGACCCTGTCTCTTTAAAAACAAACAAGCAAACAAAAAAGTACATTATACAAATAGCACATCAAATTCTGATGAGAGTGTTCCTCATGGAGTTTTTCTTCTTTTCAAGATAACGCATATGGTAAAACATTGCGGCAACACCATGGCTGGGTAGTTCGAGGGGTTTTTGCGGTAAGTGATCCTTCTTATCTCCTATTATTAACTGTAGTGGGTGTGCCAGTGGCTAGGGCTAGAAATCTCTTCTTATCCAGTTATTTATCTAGTTACGATTGTCAGAAATAAGGTTGTGTGTGTGTGTCTGTGTGCGTGTGTGTGTGTATGTGTGTATAGTGTTTTTGTTTGCTTTGTTTTTGAGGATAAGAACAAAATGTTATTTATTTCATTTACATTTATAGGCCTTTGGTGTGTGGAAATGTCAGCAGTAAAAAGTATCTAGAATAGCAAAGACTGTTAAAGAAATATGAATAAAAGAGTTGATGCTTTACCCTAGCCAATTCTAATTACTCTAGCCAGTTCCAATGACCTTGTGAAGATTTGCCTCATAAGTGGTTGCCTTTCTGATAAGGTAGTAAAAAGCTTAAGTATCCTAGCAGAAGTAGGTAGGAAGCAGTGACCCTAAATACTTATCATTGAAGGGAAATTATGCATTCAGGTGATGTAGTCAACCTAATAGCTCCCTCTGCTGCTCATTGTATTCATTCCTTTTAATTCTTAGGTCTTAGTTGATTTTTTTTTCCCCTAATTGAATTTTGTCTTTGAATATTAACTGTATTGGGTGTGCCAGTGGCTAGGGCTAGAAATCTCTTCTTAGCCAGTTATTTTCATCGTGAAGGTGTTTTGTATTCATATGTTTTGGCTCTGATTACCCACCACCCTCTTCTTCCCAGCATGTTTAACTAGGAAGAACACAAACCTGAGACTCCTAGTCTCCTGGGGAGGTCACTTATCCTGCTTTATAAAATAGCAGGAGTAGATGGCTCCTTTACGTCAGCAATACACTCTGTGATTCTTCCCATCCAGGAGAAGGTCAGTCTTAGTCAAACTGGTCATGAAAAGGCAGTCTCATGCAGTTGTATGTCAGGAAACCTCATAGAAGGTACTCACATTCTTTGGAAGGTTGGGGAATAAAGTAGCCTTGTAGATGGTATCTTTTACGGATGTAAAGGATGCATCATTTGCCTAAAGAAAGAACTGTTTGGGTCATGCTTTATTAGGGAGGCCAGTAAAGTGGGAAGAATGTACAGCACAAGAAATCAGATTGTAGTGAAAATGAAATATTTTTTGAAAGCATGGAGATTAAAGCTCCATATCCCATTCACTGTTCACTGGGATAGGTGCTGGACCAAATGAAGCTACAGACTGCTCACCCTTACCTTCAATACACCTTGAATAATCATAATTGCTTCCATGTAGCTATTGGCACTTGTTGTGTACCAGGCACTCTAACAGGTACTTTCATATTCTTTATCTTCATTAATTCTCAGGATTAACTCCCACTATTTTATACTTTCAGAACAATTAATTCCAGTCCCCACGTACTAGAGTGAGGCTATGTCAGAGCCTAGGTCTAAACTCAGATCTGTTATCTCCAAGGTGCTAGTGCTCACTTCCATTAGAGCTCTCTGCAGTGAAGACAGTCACTGAGAGGCCTCTACTGAGTTCTTAGGCAATGGATGCTCACTGTGTACATTGATCTCCCTGAGTGAATATTGTGATTGCTAGCTTGTGCCTGACACCTGAGTTGCCCCAAAACAAGTGTGGGGGGAAGGGTTCAGTATAGAAGGCAAAATTTAATCCTGAAATATTGAAGATCCCAGAGATATTGTCAATAAGAATGCAGCTATAGTAGAAAACTTACCAGCATAAATCTTTTTTCCCTTTATCCTATACTTTAATGGATGCAAAGCATAAGTCTTTAAGAGGACTTTATAACTTTATTATGCTAATTTAGACTCATAAAAAATTTTAGAAATCATGGTAGAAAGGGAAGAAATTAAAACTGTCCATATTTTCCTTTTTTAACATTTTTGTGTTTTACCGTCTTAGCTTCTTAATTTACATATTCTTTTAAATATTGACCTATTTTATATACTTAAATATAATATAGATGTTTATATATACATGCATATAGTATATGTGTATAATTATCTTTATTTTGTATACTTACTCTGTATATGTATATACATTTTTTCTACCTTTAGCTTGTATAATTTTATATCCCCCCCAACTGAATAGAATCTATCATTATCATTTTTAAATGCCATAAAAGAGTCTTTGAAAAAAACACTATTTTTAGTGACTGTATAATATTTTCCCTAGTATGGAGATATCATAATTTATTTGCTCAGTCCTCTGTGTGAGAGACTTAAGCTGCTTCTAAGTTTAGAATAAAACAGGTTAGAAATAAAACAGCATCTGTTTATATGCATTTTTGAATAAAATTCTTATTGCCTCAAAATAAATTCCTAGTAGAACTGCTGTGTCGAATACTAAGAACTACAACCACAGTTTACAGTTTCGAGCACTTAACATGCACTAGATATTGTTTTAAGTGCTTGACATACATAAATTTCTAAGTCTCATAACCCTGAGATATATTCCATTATTTTCCCTGCTTGTAGACAGAGAAACCTGAGACACAAAGTGATGAGGTAATATACCCAAGGTTGTAGAGTAAAAACATCTTGAAGGCTTTAAATATTATTGCCAATAAAGGTGCCGGTTTTTAAGAAAATAGATTATGTGATGCATTTGGCAACAGCCTTATCAGTAGAGGAGTCTGTAGCTAGATTGGCCCTTTCACCCTCTCTATTACTCTCCAAGTCATGCCTACTTCGGAAGGTTTATAAGTTTTCTAACATGGTAACTTGCAGAGCCAAATTCATGTTAACTAATCTCAGTTGCTGCGGGAAACATTGTTTACATCCAAGGAATTTGACTTATCAGCCAAATAGTGACTTTTTAATCTTTGAATTATCTACTGAGCTGATAGCCATTTCAGGCAAGGTGGCTGCCTCCATCTTGGTCACTAACTAGCCTTCATTTGACCTTTTTGGTTTCATCTTCAATCAGACTGGACAGTTGAACTCTATTACTGGTTCTCCCCTTTTTTTTCTAGAGTGCTGATGGCTGAGTGTAGAATTCTAGGTTAATAAACATTTTCCCTCCAAATTTTGAAGACATTCTTCTATAGTCCTCCAGCTTCCACTATTACTATTGTAAAATCCTATTCTGTTATATATAATCTGTTCCTTGTCCCTTTCGAGATGTTTTAGATTGTTTACTTTATCCCCACATTCTGAAATTTCATGATGCTCCCTTTTGGTCTTTATCACTCATTATGCTGAGCACTTGGTTAGGTCTTTAAATCTGAAGACTCCTATCCTCCAGTTCTGGGAGATTTTCTTTTATGTTTTTGGATAACTGCCTTCTCTTCATTTTCAGTTTTCCTACTCCCTTGTACTTTTACCATTATCTACGTATTTATCATGTGCCAGGCAGTGGGCTAAATACTTCCTACAGATCCCATTAATCCTTAAAATAAGGAAAGTGGTATTAGTCTTCTTCTGTAAATAAGGAAACTGAGATTCTAGGAAGTTAAGCACTTTGCATAAATTCCTCAAACTAGTATGTGAAAGATCTGAGATTCAAGTCCAGGTCTGCTTCATCTAAGTCTGTGCTTTTTAGCCACTGCATGACAATGCCAGTCACTCTCTTACTGCAAAAATGGGGAGGGCTGATTCTCAAAGACTTTCAAAGTATAAGGAAGATCAGGAAAGCAACTGTGGAATGATAATTCAAGATTCTCCAAAAAGCCTCTGCTGAGATCTAGTGAACACCAGAAGACAGATTTTAGCAAGCTTACGGAATATTGGCCTGCAAAGGAAGAGAAGGATAAGATGCCTAGGAAATCTGTTAGGGAAGTGGCATAGTATGGTGGTGTGATTGAAAAACACAGAGATGATCCAAGTTCAGAGCCTAGCCCTGGCACTCATTAGCTGTATGACGTTTATATATAAAATAGAGATATAAACTGTACGGGGTTCTTATAAAGATCAACTAGAATAAACTATGTTAAAGCATCAGTGCACAAGCAAACAACAAATGTTAGCTCCCTTCCTTTCTAGAAAGCATTCAAGAGCACAAAGGAAATATTGTTATATGGGGGAAAAATAGAAGATATGCAAAGAAATATATAGAGATGAGATACGAGAATGAGATGCCCTGGAAGACGGGCCATGTGGGAATAAAGACCATGATGGCAATATGCATATAGATTCTGAAGATCTGAGGGGAATAGTCTGGATCACACTGTGGATCAGAAGGGAGCTTTTCTCAGACTCTCTCTCAGCATTCCCTGATGTGATAGCATTATTTATCCTTAAGGTGGCCCAAGTACACACTTGTTTCTTCTAGCCTTAAAGTTATTTGAATTGGTCCTTGAAACATAATTTTAGAGAAGCCACAAATTAGAAGGGTAGTCATATTTCTTTACTCTTGCTCTTCTCAGCTGTTTGTATGTGTGAACGTATGTGTGTGCATGTGCACATGCATAAAAATAAGTGTGTGAGAGACAGACTTGATGCAGATTCTCATGGGTTATTCTTTTGCAGTTAGCTTTAAGGGCAGCTCCATCCTATGAAGATTTTGTGGCCGCGTTAACCATAAAGGAAGGTGACCACCAGAAAGAAGCTTTCAGTATTGGAATGCAGAGGGACCTCAGCCTTTACCTCCCTGCCATGGAGAAGCAGCTGGCCATACTGGACACTTTATATGAGGTCCACGGGCTGGAATCCGATGAGGTGGTATGATGGCTGCTGGGCAGCACCTCCTAACTTCAGGGATTAAAGTGCTAAAGTGTTTTGTTGCCCTACTTAATTTCCAGCAACAGCCTCAACCCTCTCCACCCCTTCACTTTGGGGGATGGACAGGAGGAGGCAAAACCCAGTGCTTTTATAATTTTTAAAATGCGTATGTGTTTTGTTTAAAGATCAAGGTGCTATATATTTCAGTTCAGCAGGCCTACTGGAAACCAAATGATAAGCTGCTGTAGACTTGAACAGCAAGTTATAAGAGCAGATTTAACAAACAAATTTGCTGTTATTGTGTATTGTATTGTTTTTATATTTTAGTTCTAATGGGCCACCCAAACCCAAGCTGAAAATCAGCAAATCCCATATTAAGTACCATAATTCATACTCAGTATTTCAGCCAACTTAGACTAGACATTTGGAGGTAGTATAAGCTGCTTTGTTGAAGCTGTGTAGAGTTTGCTGTTCCTAGATGTTCTTCAGTGGACCCTCTTCATTGCAACTCTGTCAGTGATAAGGGCCTGTGTAGTAAGGATGTTCAGGGCATTCACCTGACAATGCAATTGTGGGAGGCGAAGAAGATGTGGACAGGAGTCCCATCCTTGCTGACAGGCATGAGACCGTTGCTCTGAGAAGATTAATGGTGTGCCCTAACCCCAAGTTGGAGGGGAGAATATGAGAGAGGCGGGACAGGTCATTTGAGATGACACCTCCCAATTGCCTGCCATTTACCAGCATGTTCCCCATGCATTATCTCAATTGGACATCACAAGGAATGATACTCAAAGGGATTATTACCCCACTTCAAAAGCAAGGTTTAGAAGTTGGGGGATCTGTTCACAGTCACATAGTTTCTAAGCAGAGGAGCCAGTTAATTTCCAACTGTGACCTGGACTGCCTCTGCACCATAGTCATATGGAGTGCTTGTTCAAACAGCAGATTCCCAGGCCTTATTTTGACCTAAAGAACCAGAGTCTAGGTGGTGGGAGATAGGAATCTGCATTTCGATGAACTTCACATGTGATTCTTCTGCACACAGTATTGAAAAGCAACTAGATTAAATTCTAGTTTACAAAATTACCAGTTTTCTTCAAGAACTAAATGATATGTCCTTTTTTTTTTCAAAAAGGAATAGGCCGCCATTTAAATAAAATAGCTAAATGGAGAGTGAGAAGTGGAGCAAGTTTACTCAGCAGCATTCTTAATTGAGCCAGCATTGACACCCAGCCAGTAGGCCTTTGCATTGCATTCAGGGGCCATGGCTCTGAACCTGCTTACCAATTAATCTCGGTTTAATCAGCAAAAATGCAGAGCAGGCAAAATGTAGCTGTTTATCAATCTCAGAAGCTTTGGGACAGCATCAGAGTTGAAAGGTGAGACTTAAGAAAACAGTTTCTTAAACTTCTTAAAACTTAAGAAACATTATTTCATAAAACAATGTTGAGTGGGCATTCTTCTGCACAGTGTGATGCTCCAACCCTGGCCCTAGTCTCAGTAGATCACGCTGCCTTTAGTGTGCATTGGAAAGAAGCCATGGGTACCTTCCTCATTAGAGGCTACTTCCTTCTAGTAACAGGAAGGGAAGTTCCAGCATAAGGTAGTTATCCAGGGTCAAAGGTCCTTTGAGGGGCTTGGTTGAGTTGAGCATCGTCTCTAGATGATGCTGCTCCTGCTGCAGATCTCTAGGATGGAGGGAATTCTCTCTTTAGTCAGAGAAGTTTATGTAGGGAGGGGTACTGGTTTTGCCTTTGTGTGTTTTTAAACAAATGAACATTTATTTAGCTCAGATTAATTAGGTATTTTGCCCACATAAAGACTTCTGGAAAATACTTAAACTTCAAAAATCAGTATCACATGTTTTAAGGCTAGGGAGAAAGGGGGGGTATTAAAATGATGTTGATTATTTTGTATTTTGCCAAGGTGTGTGTGTGTGTTATCTCCCTCCCACTCTCATGAGCAGTGAGTATAGATCTCCTTCTCTGATTAGTACGAATATGATGGCAGGACTTGGGGATAGTCCCTGCCCTTGACATAGCCCCCTAAAACGGAAAAAGAAAAAGCAGCCAGTTTTTGCTTGTAGTTGGAATGAAGATGTTTTAGGCATTGTACCATTTAGAGGGGATGATACCAGGTGGTTGGTAGAATTGTGCAGCATGATCATTCTAAACAGCTGCTGGTGCTCCCTGCCACCTGAAGTGAACTCTGTGGTCTCTTGGAGAGATAGCAGTCTGAAAATACCTCAGGTTTGCCACCCCAGCTCTGAATACACACAAAAGGAAAGCTGCTCAGCATGGCCATTTTGCATTTGTATAGGTAGTGCCCAGATGTACACAACTCAATTTGCTGGGAACGAGGGGCTTAATATTATCTGAGATCATTGAGAAACCAGATCAGACAGAATAGCTTGAATAAGTTGCATTTGCCAATTACCCTTTTTCCACATCTGTAGAAAGAAGGTAATATTTTTAATAGGTATTTTCCCCACTGGAACATATTAAGTTTGCCTAACATGTATAAAAGTTTAAGATGTATAAAAGTTTGCTTAAGGAACTGAGGATCCTTAAATAAAAATATTAGAAATTGAACCTAATACTAAACAGTAAATTCAGCTTAACCTGAATCTGGGCATAGTCAGAGGTTCCTCCTACATCTACAGTATTTGCTCTCTGTTGTAGTTAAAGTCATAATTTGTGCTGATGTGTAGTCACTTTGCAAGAAAGGGGCAATGAGAAAAGATATTTAAAGCTTTCTCTCCATTGCCCTCCAAGACTTCTGGGACACCTAAGTTTACTTTCACCATTGCTGTGAGAGGAGGTGAGAAAACTCTAGTATTTTGTTGGCAGAGTAATCACCTTGTTGTCATTGCTCAAAGCATTTTTAGGATTATTTTTCTAGCATAACCTTTAGAGAGAACTGGAAGAAAAAGGAAATTGGTCTGCTAGGTATTATAGACACAAATAAGTAACATTAGGCTAACCCCTTATGAGACAATTCCACACAATTTCATTGTGCCTGTACTTCTCCCTATGGTAAAAGCCAGTGTTTACACTTTGTAGGTATCAGGGTGTATTTGTTGAATTAAACAAAATATTTTCAATGATGGCAAGTCTCTTGACTTTTGAAAGCAAGCTAGATTCCTTATAGCTAATGCTGGTGAAAAATGTTAAATTGGAGAGATCCCTTTTGGGAGTGAAACTAAATTGTAACTATGAGGAGAAGATGATCTTCTCATTGGCTCTTGATGTAGCTCTGAAGGGAGTTCCAGAAGAGGAGCTCTCACAGAATGTTGGGCCTATGGGCCCAAGACATTGACTTTGAAGGGTAGTTCTCATTAGGATATATAAGTAGTGGCTTGAGGCATCTTCTTACCATTATTTGCATGTCATTCTGATTATTAAACTTCCCCCAATGTCATATTCCATGATGAGGGATTTCTGAACTTCATAGTCCAGCCTTGTTGCTTTTCTCTCTTCTTTGCTACTGAAAATTGCCAGCAGTACTTCCATCAGCACGCCAAATCTGCCCCCACTTATGTTTGTTCTGCCCCATTTCTCAGGAGCAGCTTCTAGCACATATGTAGAGCATCTGGCACCAACTTAGCCCAGGGCTGGGTGCCTGATCAGAGGGGATTCTGTTTCGCCACCTCCAGACTGCAAGAGCTTCTTAAGAAGGAGCCCATATTCCCATTTGTAGCTGGAAAGCCGGTGAATGACATGACATGGGGCACCTAGGAAAGATGATTATTAGAGGGGTGCAGCTGGAAAATTTGCACTCTTCTCCTTTTGGTTATTACTTTCCATGTATATTAACAAAAAGTTGATGCTTTTAACTTTATATTTTCAGAAAAGTGTTTTTAATTAAAAATATGTGATAGGGACCAAATAAGTAAAGTACATTTTTCTCCACTAAATTTGAAGTGAGGGAAAGAGGAGCTGAAGTAAGAGTTTTTTTTTTAAGGAAACGTGATCTGATTGTGAAAATCATACATATGGAGAAATATCAGATAAGGCAGTAGAGTCAGAGGGTCATGAGCAATAGACGATGATGTGAGGCATTTGGGGAACTTTCTGGAGGAAAATTAAGTTTTTTCCTAGCAAACTACCATGTCCTATGAGAACTTGGTTGCATAATGGTGCATTTCTGAATCACTGATTAAAACCAGTTGCTTCTGATTTTAGTCACAGGTTTTACAACTATTCAGCTCTCCCTCATGTTTCATTTCTTTTTTTAAGCTAATCTATCAACCTTTTTTAAATTTTAAAATTTTTAGATGTAGAATTTATAAGTAAAATATATTTTCAGCCATTGTTCTGTTAGCTGAGCTAATGTGTTTGGTCTTTGAGGGCCTGACTTCAGATACTCTGTGATCTTGTAAGGTCTCCACACAAACTTCATTATGTATGGTAAATTTGTATTCCTATGAATTGTATATAGAATGCTTTCGTTAGAAGTACATTCTACTTCTGTACGTCCCTTTGTAATCTGCAGTTGCTTACTCAGGGGTTTCATAGTCATTTCATAAAAAACAATTCACTAGCTGTCTAATGGTATTTTAAGACTGTTTATCTGTATTACAAGGTCATTAGGAGTTCTTTCAACAATTCCATAAATATACTGTTTACTAGACCTTCCCTGTAAATGTTCCCAATTCCCATCCTGTCTCAGACAGTCAATAGTCCTGTGTACAGTGACCATTTGCATGATTTCTCATTGCACTGCTGCATTCAGGCACTCCAGGGCATGATTAAACAGTCATTAACAGTGCCTCTCTGGTACAGTTGATGCATGCATTGATCTTTCTCCTCTGCTGTTTTTATATAGCCTTTAATTAAAAGGAAAAAAATACCACTACTCTGCAATGCAAAAGTCTTCAAAATTCTTTGTTTCCCGTATTAATCACTTCTGTTCCAGAGTGAACAAATGTTTTCAGCTAAGCTATGTGAGAATGTCAGAATAACATCCTGCTTGTTCTAAATATTTCATATATTTACAGTGTGGTCAGTATTTCCTCCCTGTACCTTACAAACAGAAACCACCCTGGGATGGTTGATACCCCTTACAAAGTCGATCTTACCCACACAGACTCCTGAGTATACATGTCTGTTTATAGGTGTATATGGAGTCAGTGTTGATAGGAAGGATGCTCTAGAAGTACTTCTGTTGTTTCCTAGAAGGCTATGAGCCAGTTCCACGGCATGTTTAATGTATAATTCCCATGTATCATGAGAATTTCACTAGAATGTCATTAAACAGCCCAACTACCTCATGTGAAATTGGCTGTGGACAATCTGTCAGATGAGAAATGTGGTCAGATAAATTTAATCTGGTTAATAGATTTAACAAATTGATGTCTACATAAAGAAGAAACATGATAGACCAGATGCCAAAGGCTAAAATGTACATAGATTTCCTTGGATTAATTTTTTAAGTCACTGTTTAATTCCATGCCTAGTATTCTTATGAATGTGTGTGGTTTCATAGATTTATGCACTTTGAATATCTGTCACGTGCAGTATTAACGTTACCTGTTCTTGTCTCTCAGCATTTTGAATGAGCATTATAATCAGAGTAGAAAGCAAGTTAAACTATAAAAGTGTGAAGTGGCTTGTTAACTTCTTAATTTAATGGACCTTTACTTAGAATATAATATGTTGGAGCCTCTTGGGACCAACCGATGAGCGACAGTTTCATGTTTAGATTTGTATTGTTTCTCTGTCCAAGTCCTTATTCTGTATCTGGCGGGGAGGGGGGAAAGGGGAAGGTTTTACTTTTTTTGCAAAAATGTTTGAAAATATCTGTCAGATTTTATATTCGTTAGTTATAATAAACTTATTTTTAAAGTATTAAGTTCTTAAAGATTTTTGTGTGGTTTTCTGCCTAATTGAATATGTCAATAAGAAGTCTCATTTATGCAACACACATGACTTGCTGGGCATCAACCTAAGCCCTTTACAAATATAAGCACATTTCATCCTCCTAATAACTCCATAGGGCAGGTACTGTTGTTATCCTCAGGTTACAGCTGGGAAAACTGAGACATATATTGGGGAAGCCCCTTGCCTAAGATCCCACAGCTAGGAGGAATAAGCCAGGCTACAAACCGAGGCAACCAAACTCCAACATGATTTTTTTTTTTTTTGAGACAGTCTTGCTCTGTTGCCCAGGCTAGAGTGCAATGGCACAATCTCAGCTCACTGCAATCTCCACTTCCTGGGTTCAAGGGATTCTCATGCCTCAGCCTCCTGAGTAGCTGGGATTACAGGCGTGCACTACCATGTCTGACTTGTAATTTTAGTAGAGATGGAGTTTCACAATGTTGCCCAGGCTGGTCTCGAACTTCTGGCCCCAAGTGATCCACCCACCTCGGCCTCTCAAAGTGTTGGGATTACAACTTGAGCCACTGTGCCCAGCCCCAAGCTCCAAAATTTTTATGAAACTGCTTAAAACCTAAACAGAAGATGATTTTGAAGCATCAGAGGGCCTCTGGAATGGCCTTGCCCTGGGTGTTTTAAGCATTCAAGAAAGACTTGCTCCTTTCAGAGGTAGCTATGTTCTTTGGCTTGGTTTAATTCTGTTTTCAGAGACACTAGATGCAGAACAATTAGTAGATTAATTTGCTAAGCATAATGTTTCAGTGGCTGTGTGCTTAATTAGATGACATCAGTAGCAGACACTTTTTTGCCTAAATCACTTGATGCCAAAGTAGTGTTTAACCTGTCAGGTTTCGCCTCTCATACACTTGTTTGTGCATATTAGGATACCTACAGATATGTATGACTGGCATTGGAGAGCTGTCCTGTCCACTCGCTTCTCAGGGAATCTTCCCACTATTGCCCACTTGAGCCCTCTCCAGCTGCCTCTTTAAACACAACAGCAGAGTCCATTAGAATTAAGAGTGGGAGGGATTGAAAGAAGAGAGACACAGGAGTGTTGAGTGGTAGGTGCTTGAGCAAAAGGGTCAAGTAGAGTTGGGACTGGGGTGGCTATGTTGCACCATGTGCAAGAGAAGGAAGAAGAAAAAGCTGGTGTAGAGGAAGGATGGTATAGGCACACTGAGAAGCACTGATGCAAAATCATGTAGTAGCCAGGGACACCAGCAAAGTTTCCTTGAAGGCTGGCTTCCCTTTCCTAGTTCCAGCTGTCTGGAGGCCCTTGTTCCTTGCCCTAAAGTTCCTCTTCTTGAGAAACCTGTACCTTTACAATACACTGCCTTGACCTTTTTACTTGCACGAATTTTAATAGGCCACTATCCCTTGAGACAATCACTATGACGAGCTCCTCTATCATTGTTTCACACTGAATATAGGCAAATCTTAAAGCAAAATCCAAATGAGATATGTTGAAACACCACTGTCTTCCTCACTGTGTAAGAAAGGAAGTGCCTTTCAGACCAGTCTGTATGGGCTTATTCTAAGTTATGAGCAGTACCCCACTGAACCCCAGGATCTTTCTCATAATGGCTTCTTATAAATCTGAAACATCAGTAACGCTGGAGCAGGCTGTGTAAGGACCAGCTATCTACCTCTGGCCTCTCTGTGCCTAGGTGAAGGAGTGTGCTCAGATGGGAGGTATATGAAGGGAGTTCATTTCTGTTCTTCAGCTGTATCCTTTGGGGCGGTTGGACTGCTGTCTAGAGGATGAACAGAGCTGGTTTCAGAAAAAGAATGTGTTTGGATGTCTGTCCCAACTTCCAGTGGGTAGAGGAGTACAGCTGCCTTGTGGTCATGAGGGTCCAGCTAAGGAGAACAGAGTGTGGCTGTGCATGCCACTTGCTATTACTCCAGAAACTGCAGGTACTGATGCATTTTCTGTTCTACCATCACTCTACGATAACCTGGACACACTGGAAGATCTGTGCTCATCTGTGCTGCAGTAGAGAAACCAAAAGAACAAGAAGGAATAGAATGACCCTAGAGTTGATATTTTTATTTTTTCTTACACTCCTGTTGCTAGGTTAGAAGAGATGCTCTTTTATGATATGAGCACATGTCCTGTGTGTGTGTGTCCACATGGATTGACACACACATCCTGCCACTGTCATTATTGTCATCCTCTCCAGAGGCATGAAATGGAGATAACCACTTTTGGAGTGGTTCAGGTTGATGGAGAATTGATGAACGATGATGGTCTGACATCAGCACTGAGGACACAGATCACATTTGGGGTGATCTGCTATATGAATGCATTGTCCTCAGAGAACAAAGTTGTCGCATCTTTGCTGACACTTGTATATGGCCAGTTTTAGGACCTTTTGCTTTGGCTTGAGAGTCCAGCTTGTTGGAAAGGATTTTAGATATTGTGAAGTCAAATCCTGCTTCAGAGTCTTTTATGAGATCACCTTAGACAGTGAATTCCCTCATCCTCCCCTTCCCCTGATCATTGTACTTCAGTGACCAACCCACTTCCCCAGAGTTCCGTGGAGATGTGATGATTCTCCACCTTGTTCCTAATTTAGACCTGGCTCTCTGCTCTCCTCCCTGCAGATAACCCTTCAATTATACTTCAGGCACAGGTCACTCACCTGGGTTGTGGTCTCGGAGCTCCAATCCAGACCCACCTGCCTCCTGACCATCCCTTAGAGACCCTACCTTCACTTGAAACCCCAAAGCCAAACTTGGTTGCACCTAAAGCTTTTCCATTCAGGTCAGTTGAGTCACCATTGTTCTAGTCTCTCAGGCAAGAAATTGGGACACTCTGAACTCTCCTCTCACTTCCTCACTATACCTGCTGTGACAGCAAGGCCTGCCTCCGCCTCCATACTCCCAGTGCTGTGCACAGCTACAGCTTGATCTCTGGATTCTCTGCTCTTAAACCTGTCATGGCCTTCCAAACCTGAAAATGCTCCCTGTGACTCTATGCCAGGCTTTAAGTCCCTTTACAAACTTGGTATGCCCTTTTCTCATCCTTATTCCTGGAAACCCCTCAAAATCTTCCCAGACTCAATAAATCTCTGCTATGGATTTTACCTCTAAACATCCCCTGCATTTCTAAATGATACTTTATGAATTACAACTTAGGGATGGGAAGTGTGACTCCAAGGTAACTGGACTAATTCTTTGGTGTTAGGTTCTAGTTATTGGCGTAGCCACATCTCTCATTAAATCATGAACTTTACCTTCATGTCAATGTGCCCCGCACCTGACAATGCCTTCCTTGTCTGTGGTATAATTCCAAAACTGTCTTAAGAGTTGGGCGTCACCACCATGTGCTTTGTGATTCTTTCAAATGTGTTAGTTCTGTTAGCCAGCTAGATAAAAATATTTTTGAAGCAAAACCATACACTTCTATTCCCTCCTGCTTCCTTGGCTGCTCAAGAAATACTTTGAGTGACTGACCACACAGAGTATAAATAATTTATGTGTTTTTTATATTTTGTCTTTGTTAATGCACATGCAAAATGTTTGTATTTTACAGGTGCTTATATATATCAAATTATGAACGATTAGAATGCAAGGTCCAGCTCATGGTTCTCACCCTCTTTGTGCATTAGAATCACTGGAAGGACTCAAAAAACAAGCAAATAAGAAAAAATATATATGCCACTTATAGCTGCGCATCTCCCAGACCACTTTAATCAGGCTTAGGAATGTGGCCTGTCACTGACGTTAAAATATCCCCAGTGATTCTAATTTGCAGCCCAGAGTGAGAACCCCCAGAGCTGCTGGTTTAGTCCTTTAAAATTGTACTGTGGGATCTTTCAGGATAATTTTGGTCAGATCACAGTCACTTCATCCCCTAAAGCTAAACCTAAAGAACAACCAGACTAAATAAAATTCAAAAAGTAAAACTCAGTTTAAAAAATTCACTAGCATCCAGGCAATGGAAGGAGCTCCACCTTGTTTTTGTGTCTTAAACTTCAAAAGATGACAGTCAAACAAAAAGACCAGATTTTCCTGGTAAGAAAGAAGAGCTCCTAATCCCACCTGCTAGAGGGGATTGGCAAGATGCAGAATACTCATTGAAATTTCAGGTTTTGGAAAGAAGTTGACTGGTGAATAGGGGCAGGATGAGTACCTTTATCTCTTCCTTCCTTTGAGTGGGGGTGTTGTAGGGTGGGGGTGGGTTGGGGATGGAGTTTGCTGGGGAGAGATGGGTGAAACAGAGGACTGGAACTAGCTCATCCCTGAATTAAGAGACAAACCCACATTCCAAAGACTGTGTCCCCTGTACATACAGTAGATATGTCTTCTCTCCATTCAGAATTCACTCTGGTGCAGGACTTAATGCAAGTATCAGAAGACAGAGCAGAGTCCAGTCCTCTAGTAAAAGCCTCTACACAGCTCCTTCCTCCTCCATATAGACACAAAGACACGGACAGGCTGGGCTCATACTTGGCTGGTACACACTAATGTGGCTGTGCTGGTTATTAAAATATCAAAATACTTCCACACCACGATGGAAAGAATCACTTACCCAAGTGTCTCATGCTGTTCTGGCCACCCCAGCCCCTCTCACAAGAAGCCCCCCACTCCAGACCACCCTACAGACCAGCAACTACAGGAGTAACATGTGGCCTAGAGCTATGACCAACCTCTGTTCTGTCTGCTCAATGTCTGTGACATGTTGGTGCTTAAATATTTTCAGTGTTATCCATTCGGAAAGTATATAGAACACAAGCCTACAGGGCAAAAGAAATAGATGCCAAACAAGATGGGAAATATGTCAAGGAGAATACACCGACACTGTATGAAGGCAAATACCTGGTCTTAACAGAGCTGCTCACCTTAAAGATGAGCAAATGTACGGAAGATGGCCTGGCAACTATGTGAGTATGCTACAGCCAGAAAGGGGATGGGGCGGAGTGGGAAACAGATGAAACCAATATGGAGAAACAGCTAGCCCAAGAAACAAAAGTT